GAGTGGAAAAAAGGTCACATGTGTTTCTGTTATCGAAAATGATTATTAAATGTAAACAATATATTGAATAAAATAATGCAAATGTAGTAGACGCAGCGGCTCTTAGGGTCACCTTATCCACATAGCTAATGGTAGCCCTTCGGTTATTGTCATATTCGAATAACAGGTAAAATCATACGTGTGAGCACATTTAGTGACCAAAGCATAGTTTAATATTATTTTTTACTTCAAGTATTTTTTAAAGAACGTAACTACAGGATTACAGATAGCGCTAAAATTATAATTTGTTCACCGGTATGCTACAAGTGCGTTAAAGCAATACGTGGGTTTTCTGAGCAGCTTCAATCAAAAGTCGGCAAATCACAATAACAACCATGAATATCTTATTATGTTATACCTATTTTTATCTAATGTAAACGTCTTATATTCTAGCAAAGGAAGAATGAACCATAGGGCTGTATACTGATTAGGGCAAAACCAGTGTGGAGGATGCCTTAAAGTGGCAAAGACCTAAGTTTTGCAAGGTTTGAAGTAGTTCAGATACTATCTAAACATATAGAACGAGATTGCAGTCTGTATAACCAAAGATGATTGGTTAAAGTATGAGTAGAAAACTATTGCTGCTTGCTAACTAACAGGTTAATTTATGGTATATTTAAGTTAGAAGCGGAGGGATTTTGTTGTTGTTTGGATGTTCCTAAAATGAAGACCAACTATGCATGCACTTCTTGAGAAGCCTAAATTTCCCAGTGTTCTTAGAGTAACCTAGTGCTGGCTGAAAAGTTATTTTTATGTAAATCACAACTCCTTCTACCAACGAATTTGGCGTCTGTTGATCTCATTGACATATCTGTAACAGCGCTAGCATATCGGTTTAATAGCAGTAGAATTCCTGGTAACTGTAGTCACCTTGTGTAGGGATTTAAGGTGGCTGTCAGACCTTTTAAGTCATACTACTTTTAATAAAAAGATCATCGTATCCCTAATTTTTACATGCCTAATTCAAGTAGACTATCACTGATTGTGTCATGGAGGTTTGAATTATACTTATTTATTTTTTAGAATCAGTTACTGCTGTGAGTAGACACCCTCAGCCTTTAGATTACACGAGGGTGTATGTATGCACCATCCTAATCCTATACGTTGTTTCTGTGACGACTGCACTGACTGATAGTAAGTTTTCATTTTAATGCGAATTCTTAGTAAAGCTCTCAGTAACAGTTCATAACCCCCTCATTGAGACAAGTGTCTGGTGTTAGTGAGGCACTAACTGGTGTATGGACTGCTACCGTGTTTTAGTGCTGTGATCCTTAGCACTTTCCTAGTTTAAACTAATTCAGTTGAGGCATAAGTTCGCGGTGGACGATACGTAAGTGCATGTAAACCGATTCATTCACTCTATTCAGACGTTTGCAGCCTCATCTTGTGATCTACTGCTTTCAACTTAGTGGTAACGTATAACCTCAGCACTCGTGAACATAGTAAGTGCATCACATACAAACATTATTCATTGAGTAAGAAGGCTGTCGTATCCACTGAACTAGTAATCATTTAATTCACAAAGGTGAACACTAACATGCAATAAATACTCCATAATTTAGCCATTATGAATTTAAAACTACTGAAAGGACGTCGCATAAATTCAGTTCAATATTTTAAACCCCACTTCATTTAGTTTTCCTTCATAAAACACCTTGAATTTTCATTTTTTAACGTTAACTTAAACCTATCTTCCTTTCTCCATCGGAGATCTATAGCAGCGAACAAAGCTTTGTTTCATTTGACCTCCACGTGAAAGGACAGTTGTTTGTGATTCCTTATTTCTTTAGTTACATACGAATATGAAGCGTGACAAATGTGAACGAATAACATGAACAATGGAGTAATAATTCCAAAAAATGTTATAAAGAGATATTGGTTTTACCTAAAACATTTGTCTACTGAGTATTTTAATCTATTACCTCATTCTGGACAACAATAACAAGAAAGCTCCCAGAAAAGGTCATAGTGAAATTAATCACAGGTATATATAGATCCCAGTAAGTTTTTTGATAACACAATAACATCGATTAATCAACAGTGGAGTGTGTAACACTTTTGATTCAGCCCTGTTTACAGAGAGAACGTCCATGTGGTAAAACAATTTATTAACTCAGTTGGAGAGGCCTGAAACTAAATTACATCCTCACATATCTACCTGTTTTGCAGTCCATAGGAACAAGATTATTAAGTGACTTATCTAAACAGATACCAGCCAGCAGGAAAATGTTAGTATATACCAGCGATAACAATGATTACCCGATGTTTTGTAGGAAACTACAACTCATACTTGGAAGCTATACAAATCCCAACCGAATAGGCTAGCTAACGAGTGAATACTGTACTTAGCACCCATATTTGAAATTACCCTGATGACGGTTTTACCCCAATTACAGATATGTTCAAATACTATGTTACTATTTTAAAAGTTGACAAGTGTCTTATATATAATACACTTATTATCTGAAAAAATTCCCTTCCCGTTGTGGATAGAGTTGGTTGTAAGGCTTAACTTTCAGAAGTTTCACCTGCCTTAGGCTGGATCATAAACCTGTCATATGCTTTTGCTAACGTTATCTCCAATCTCAAAAAACTGTTGTTTGAATGCAATACAGTTTCACTTAAGTTTGTAATGTATTCTGTGCTCTGCAACGTAGAACAATTCTGTTTGCATTCTAATGGAGTATGACATAATCAAAAAAAATTGCTTAAAGTGGGAATTCAATAAATACTTTTGCTGAAAATAAAGGTGGGATACCTTCCTTTGGTGTTGGACGTTAAATACAGCTACTCGTATATTGAGCAGGATTTGTAACATACAACTCAGAAGACTATTAGATGTCTTCGGTGAAAGTAAAGAGGCATCTAAGAATATGGATAATATGCGTGAAAGCAACGCATATATCCACCAATTTCTGTTAAGTGTCAGTCACTTGACAAGTCTGATGGTTACTCACTGAACAACATGAATTAATTTTCGTTGTGAACAGGTATACACCTGCAGTATTTGTACTGACACTTTTAAACTCTATTCATACATCCTGTAACTTCTGTAACACTACATAATTATAAAGAAACAAATTTCTTCGCTTCATTAAGCAGAATTTCGCAGGAAAAAACTCTTTAATTGTGGTTAAAAACAGTGTAAACAATGGTTTTCATAAATGCTTTAAATTTCTTTGTAGCAATCTTAAATGTAGGAAAATACACCGGGAGATGTTTTTACCCAAGTTACAAAAATGGTTGATACCATGTGGATAATCGTCAAACTTTCGGAAGAGTTTTGCTAATATTGTGTGTATAAGTAAACTTTTTCATCCTCCAAATAGTCTTATTTATCTTGCCTTATTCTATTTCATTGCTGTTGAGAAATGTCGAGTCGATTAGAATAATATAGACTAATAAGTTATTTGGTAAATGCGACAAGATGTCATAAAGGTTAGTGGTGAATTAAGCATACATTTGAATTAAAATTTATCAACCATTTGAAAGTGATCAGCATTCATAATATGTAGGAGTAAGTCACTAAATTACTAAATTAAACTCATATTCAGTTCCCTTCAGAGAAACTCTCTAATGGCTATTTGTCAAACCTTCTACATCCAACTTCGGCATAATGCTTTTTGTGTTTGTATATTTCAAAGGTTAGTTTCTAGGCGAAACAGTTATATTTGATGTCATGAAACAGCCGCGATGAGAGGCTAATCTGCTGAAACAAACAAAGTAACTTACACAATAAATCAATCTGAAGGAAATTATTATCTCAAATTTTAAATTTAGACCAGCAGGATCTAAATGATATAATACTATGTGCTTTGTTTATGAGTTGCATGACTGCGGTATTCAGATTCTTACTACAAAAGTTCTAAAACTCTTTGTAAATCAAACTTATTATGAAGAAATTCATCAAATGGTGTATAACATGGTCTTAATACTTTAAGTCTTGTCGATTTTTACCCTAAAGTCAAACATCAGAAGAGTAGTTCATTGTGATTGATTATTTATGGAATGCCTTATATCGATAAGCCAACTTCAAGTATTTCGATTGCCGATCTTTATTCATAAGTTAACGGACTAACTTTACGATCCAAGCAACACAACTGCTATACAACCTATCTAAAAAGGCAAAGTTGAATAAACTAATGGATAGATTTTATACAGTGGTGATTTTATTAATGAAAAATGGAATTCTTTAGACACTTAATAGATTTCGTAACTGAATTCACTTCAATTCCAAAACATCAATAAACTGGAAAATTGTTCATTGTAGCAATCGAAAGTGTCCAAAATCTCACATAATGTTGCTTCCAACTGTATTTACCAATTCACATTCACGTGCCAAAGCACATATATTAGAAAAACGAACAGGAGGGTTTCCGCTCACATTTCTGAGGGTATAGTCAAGAATCTAAGAACAACACGTTTGCACTCCACCTGATTGGTACTAGACATTCTAGACAGCCTGAAATCATTCAGAGTTATCAACAGGTAGGAAAATTCAGGCATATTGTGTTCTGCTGAAGTAATAACTATCCAAAGACCAAGTTTATGTATTTAAAAGTATGAAGTTGTCAACCTTGCATTGCCCCAGTGATGAACTTACAAACAAATTTATGCACGTTTTTGTTACGCTATTCTATCTTACATATTTCTGTTCTGTTTTAACCCCTAGTTTTCATCTGAATGCTGCCTACCTGACTCTTTATGCTTTTTTGAACTCAAAGCCTTTTTGAAGTTACGCAACCTGTGGTAAATACCTTTCATTTACCTCTGAATATTCTGCTTTTAGAATATTCATCTGATAATCTCGTAAATAACCAATTTCCTTCTCACATTCCGAATGATCTCTTCTACTTTAACTATTCATTTAATTCATTATCTATGTAATCGGTTGATACTGTCAATAACTTCTTGTTATTTCTTGTAATATTCACATTTTGATACCACCTAGTTTATAAGCAGTTGACAAGAATCCTTAAATAATAAGAATAAGCTCATATTATCCTGTTACAATTGTTGTTTTTGTGCTGCTCAATTTCATGAACATAGAATGTTCCAAATGATTAATCAAGTTCAGTATGTTAATGATCAGAACAGTTATTCTAAATGTGGAAACGAATACATGGAAATTATTTCAATTTCAATATACACTTTGATTTGAGTTTCAAGAATATCTACTAGGAATAAGGGAAGTTTCTCAAGAAAGAAGCTGATCGACATCATATGTCTTGGAATATTATAAATGTAGAAAATCATATGAATAAAAACAGAAATGATTGATATAAAATTCAAATATTTTGTTAATTTGCATCATATATGTATATATAAGTATCCTTAAAGAGTTTAATCAAAACTGCCTATGAAACATGCTCACAATTCATTATTTCACAATTTTGGAAAATTAAGGATATATTTTTGAATTTCCAAGATCATAAAATAATCAGTGTAAAAAGTTCTAAGTATATAATAGAAAATTTGTAACGGAAAAGATTATATATTTATTAATCATTAGGGAAAAAAGTAACTAATATGAAGAATTCATATTTATCTGCAGACTAAGTAACTGAATATTTTTGATGATAGCCTTTTGAATACCTGATATTTTATATTCTTCACGTCTCTTGATCTATGTCTACTCAAGATACCGAAGTAACTCGATAGGTCAAACAATGATTTGAAAACCACTTCATAAATGACAGGCGATTTGGCACCTTTTTATCATCAAGCCATATAGCCAAAGAAAGAGCTGAAACCATAAAAAAGAATAAAATTTATTAAAAATGAAATGAAAAATTAAGTAGAATCTGTAGGCATCAGAATAAATACATTGTCATTTCTATAGCCAAATGGCAGGAAAACTTTAAATTTTTTCCTAGTTATCATTCATCACAAAGCTTATTTACAACCTTGGAGAGATCATTAAGATTCTCGTTAGGATTCGAGTGCCATGCATATAGCTATTGAAATGATCCTGGAAAAAGTTAATTATGAATACAAAATTAGTTAATTTTTAGTTTAGTTTAGTTGATTTAAGGTTCTAAGTGATGACAAAGGTTTCCGAGTCGACGAATACAATGTACGCCTAATGTCATAAGAAGCGACAATGAGGAAGTCTTCATTTGGATACAGATATATGGATTTCATATTCCATCAAGTACACGCATAATCAAACAAAAACTTACACCAATCTTCATTGTTCTGACACTGGCGTTCGCTGTTTCTTGTAATAAGTAACTGGTAATACCCTTTATATTGTAGTCTATTTAGAGGTTAGCTGTGGAATCCAGGACGTGTGTTTCGTCCTATTTGGGACTCGATGGTTGGGTGTACCAGGACCCAAGTGAGTGATGTTGTTCTCTCTGAGACTCTAACCTCTTATCCATCGCTTCAACTGCCAAAGCGTTATCCACTAGGCCACTGGGGGGTGACAGCCACCACTTAAATCTCGATGAATATCAATATTCAGGCAGTATCGAGGCATCCGCATAGGAGCCCATCTGCCAACAGCAGTCGCATCATTCAACCTAGTATGGCAATAATAATACCTTTGTTTGTTTTAAGTTTCATTAACTGTAGGTTTTGAAAATATTTATTTTACTTGAAAATCATCAACTTTAATAACAATACAATGTTCAATGATGACTTGCTTCGGGCTATTAGTTTCAAATTTAATTCAAACTTATTTTCTTTTAGGTGGGCAGAATTTGAAGTCAACTTTCACATTACATTCCAAATTATTTTTAATTGAAAAGTGACTACCATTTGACTTTACTTCAGAAATGCATCCTTAAAATGACCGATTTAGGATAACAGTGTATTCAAATTAATTGTAAAGTGTTGAAACTGTAAACAGTTTAGTAGCTGTAGACACTGAAAATAAACTGTTATGTACCATTTATATAATATGTTCCTGTTTCCGAAATTCCACATATAAGTACCTCTCAAGATAATCTATACTACTAATAACATTCCATATGAATTCAATGGAAACAAAAGATTTGTTAGCGATGTTTTCGTGATAGAAAACCAAAGCTAAGAAAGTTATTGTTAAAATCAAATTGGCACTCAGCTTTTTAAGGCTACTAAGTATCTTCAAGTTATTTTGTTGGCCGACAAATGTTTACCCTAATAAGGCAACATACCTGACTTCTATTTCATCACTGTCACCTCATTTTTGTCAGTACCTCACATAATAAGTACCACATCTTTATAATTTAATTCTGTACTGTATTATTTCCTGAACTAACTAGGAAATATGAAGTTCTAGATTTACAAAGTTGTCTACTTACAATCTGCCAATCGAAATGTAAGTTTTAATACTCAAATGAAATGGCATTAAACATGGTTTCAAAATAGCTCACTCATTTTGTATTTTTACTGTATATAATGATTTGTATTTTAGTCGTTAGTAATCCCTTTTTTTCTAAAAGGGTGCAGTGTCGATAATAAACAAAACGTATGTATCCTTGCTGTGTTGTGGTGAGCTACTTCAACTAATGACGCACGAACAAAGAAGTGAAATCCTGTGGCATCCTTTAAATGCACAGGGTGAAAACGCTGATTCAACAAACTTTTATGAACACAACACTTAAAAGTTGTAACTTACTCATCAAACACACACATCCAGAGACACCAAAGAAAACTTCTGGAGTTGCCTTCCAGAAAAGAGTTACCAGTAGAGACAGTATTGATCCAAATGCCTAGATTTCAAAGTAGAAACGTTGTGAATATAAATTTCATGCAAATGGAATAAGCAACATGGTAAAATTATGATTAGAGAAGGCTGACTAGATTATTTATGCGACAAAATTTTGTAAAACAAGAGCAGTACATACTGTCAATAGGAAACTTATCACTGTATTTACTTCGAATCGGGATAATATGAAGCACCATAAAAAATTAAATACACTTTTGCACATGTATATTTTGTCACACTCAGGAATAAAATAATTCTCTTTCGTTTCATGTATTCAGGTAGCGATCTTGTTTTCAGTTTTCGTTACACAAACAATTCTGACATGAATATGAATGAGAGCAATAAATTCTGCTCGAAACGTCATCTAGCAAATTACGTGTCAAAGTGTGCTATATCAAATAAACAATCTAATATGGAGCAATTATGATTTAGTTTCGGTAAAATTTTACTATCCAAGGATAAGAATTCACTTGATTAGTCTTTTCTGTACGCACTTTGACTCAAAACATAGATTGCTGATCATCAATAAGCTCTAAGATTATCACAATTCATTTTAGAGTGAAAACGCTTTAAATCATTTTCTAACAAGTAATGGATAATGGGCACTTACCTAACTAGCATATCTGAATGATATGATGATATTGATGTGAAAGTGAATTTCATCATGCAATGACACTATTTGGAAAATTACTGAAACCCTGAAAGAACTGGGCATCTGTTTTCTTTTAGTTAAGGACTCTTCGGTAGTGTGCACCGAAGAGATCGTGAAAGACTGAGACTATGAGCGTCAGATTTCGTGATGAGCGCATCTAGCCAGTGGATTGAAAACCAGTGGTCAAATGGTTTATGGGTTAGAAATCTATTTAATACCAAGACGTGTAGTTTATCATTTTGGAATCGTTGAATTTATTTTTACGCCTCATCATCACTGAAAATATCAACATAGAACCCGACATTACTGCATAGCGGTTCAATTTGCCACATCTCACATTAGCACAAAAAGTTTAAAAAAAGCAGTAGAATGAAAGATGAAGAAAGGAAGAAGAATCGACCAAAAACAGTAAAAATCAGTAAAAGAGACGAAGGAGTGATCAGAATATGCTGAATATAGTATAGCGATTAAGATAATGAGTGGATACATCTGTGCCACCAACATCGATTTTGAGCAGTACCACAAAGAGTCTCCAACCACTGAAATCTCCGGTCAAGTGGACCCAAGACATCTAGTCTAAATCACCCAATACGCCACAGACCAACAGTCAAAGAATTCATCCACTGATCGCCCCGAGCCTTTTCACAGCTTGAAACTACTTCAGCTAACATTGGGCGATGAGGCAGACGGTGAGTAGGCATGCTTAACACATGTCTCGCCCGTCTCAGTTGATGAACTTTCACAATTTCATCAACTGACTTTACTCTCCTCCCTAAAACTCTACACCTTACTTCCGCAACACTCACGTGGCGACACCACGAGACACGACCTATGTCACAAAGACAATGGTGCTCACACACCTGAATCCTTCTGGTATCCTCTACCTTTAATGGACATGTTTCAAAGCCATACACTAGGACAAAACGAACTGTAGTACAGTACACTCAACCATTAGTGGATAATTCGATACCGCAGTGGCTCCACATATGGCGTAAGTTTGCAAAGGTCAGTCGAACGTTTTGTAATTCGATGGCCCTATGTTTTCTGAGCGGGAAGATTTAATCGTGCTGATGTTGTCTAAAATGATAGTGAAAGCTTCACGATTAAGCCATTCAGTCCAGAGAATACAGCACCATCAAAATCGTCCTCTAGAGCTATAAATATTCCTCATCATCGCAGAGCGTTATGTATGCATGTAGAGGCTAAGTCAGCCGCTGACCCATCATGGCTGATCCGACTTCCAAGATAAGTGAAGCGTCCAACACACCCTACCACTTCACTCTCTGTTATCAGGTGCGGCAACGCTGAAGACCACTCCTGGTCCTGGAGTAATAATTTGGATTTGGGCGGCGAGAAACGTATCCCAAACATTCTAAGATTTTCAGTGAATATCTCCAGAAGACACCTCACCTCGTCAGTATCTCCAACTAACAGGGTTATGTCATCTGAGTACCCTAGATCTACCAAGTATTTTACTGTGATAAGATCAATCCCTGTGAAGTCAAATGGCGAGATGGAGATCTCCATAAGTACGTCTACGACAAAAGTGGACAGGAATAGAGAGACATCCCTGACGGACATCACTCGATATGCACAGCTAACCTGGAAACTCACCGTAGTCTTTAATACCTCACGGTTGTTCGAGTAAAAAGCCTTCAACAGAGTGATGTACTTACTCCGGACCTTTTTCAGTGAGTGGTACTCAATGAGACCGTTCAACAGGTGGAGTCGAATGTCACCTTCAGGTCAAGAAATAAAGCCAATGTCGGACTTTGGTGAGAATGCCTGTGTCCCAGAACCTAGGGGAGCGTGAATGTCTGGTCGAAACACCAAAGGTCAGGCCTAAAGTCTGACTGATTTTCTTGCGTTTTCTGTTCGCCAGCTCCCCTCAGACGTCAAATGACTATGAAACCCAAAAACTTAGATACTATGTTCACCAAGCTGATTCTTGTGTGGTCATATCATAGAACTAGGACAATCAGTGATTGAGACCAGTCACAGTTGTTCACATTTGACTCCCAAACGCTAATATTTTAGTTAACTTGACTACAAACCATCGACCACCGTACTTAAATATCTCTGGAACTAGTCCGTCTGACCTGCTGCTCCCTCAGATTACCTACAGCTTTCTTGATTTCTCCAAATGTTGGGGGTCCTATCTCGGTGTTCCATTCAAGCATGGAAATAGAAAACGAACTATCAAAAATACTGCAACATCCAACAACCAAGATTTCAAATGGATGACTAGGCATTCAGCCTTGTATTCAATTTATTAATTACAGAAGTGATTAGTTTCCAAAATGAACTTACAAAGCCAAGATAAACCAAGCCATAGTTAACAGCTAAATTTTTTGGACCAAATATACTTCCTGTTGCAGCTGGCATCATGGAAAATACGCCGGAAAGAAAGAAAAATAAGGAACATGCCCATATGGTAAACACAATTTTTAGCAAGACTCCAGATGCATATGACATCAGTGGAAAAGTGAATAGGAATATTCCCCATATACACAACTGGATACAAATAGGTATCTAAAATAAGAACAAAAGGCAGAAAGTACTGGCAAAGTGATTCATACTGTAAGTACTTTGTAAATGTACTAGCATTTTGACATATAAACGTCGTGTACATTTTTCATCAAGTGAAAGTGAGCAAAATTTTCATAGCTAAACTTTACTTATGTAGTCGTTGCAAATCCCTCTGAAAATATAGTGATCTCATAACATGCATATGAATATTGCAACTTACATGGAGATTTGAAAATGTCAGACATAAGTTCACTAACACTTAAATGCAAACCTCTGCTCCAGCACTGATTTGTGCTGGGATTCTGTCTAAATTTTTAGTAAGTCTACTGATTTCAGTCACTTTATAACTGTTTCAGGAAATAAATTTCATAATTATCCGTTTGGTTCATTTAGGAACCTTGTTATTGAAGTTTCAGCATATTTTGAGGCGGAGATAAGTGAACTCTGTTAGGGTCGAAACAAAGAGCTTTATACTGTCGGAAATATTTGTTTGCTCCTCAGAATGGTTAACATTGTTTCGTTGATGAGTCGATTAAATTAAAGAGTGAATTTACCTTAAAAGGCATCCTAATTATAAATAAACGAAAATGCAGACCACTTTTGCCTTGTTCATTTTTTGATGCTTGTATGCTAGTGGAAAGGAAAACGAAGAAACATGGAAAATTCAATATATTCCACCAGATTTGCTTTTGATTTTTTACTTAGATTTTTGCAGCGAATCGGCTAAGACATTCTGTCCCACTTAGTGCTAGACCTACTGTCTGCAACCACATGTTTTCACTTATTTATATCCATGCAGCAATTAATGCAGGTTTACTACGTTAAGCTTTTTTTGATAGAGAAAATTAATAAAAGAGGTTGGCTAGACCCCACTAAACTGTTAACAGTTATAAATCTTTGTCATAGATGCGTCCTAGGGAGTCTTTAAACAGCTTACTTTTTTGTCATTTCACGTAGAGACATAAATAATCATAAGATTAAAAAGATTAAAATATCAAACCTTATATTTTGGAACAGGGTTAGAAATTTCAACTCCTAATATTTACAGTTTTAATGTGCATCATAGATTTGTAGATCTGTATGAACAACCAAATTGCAAAATTTTGAATACATTCATGGAGACTGAAAATGAGAGTTTATGAGCAGGCAAGTAACCTTGCCTAGGCACTTAATATTCAACACTTGGCTTAGCAGAAAATAGAGAATACTTATAGTGCAATATTACCAGATATTTAATTTCAGAATGGAGCATTTTACGGAAACAAAGGGTTATTTATAATGATGTAGTTTACAGTTACCTTGAATGAGAACCGATCTACGACTACACCCCAAGCAACACGACCACCACAGTTGAAAAGCGAAGTTATTGCTGTTATAGATGATAAAAATCTATCATCGGTTATATGGGTTTGTCCAAATATCTAGAGCAATAAAAATATGATATAAACTAAACTGAAACACAAATTTTTTCCAGTCTTATTGTTGCAAGAGTGAATAAAATATATCCAGCAAACATTTTACTGCAAATATATATTCTAAACAAGGTATTGTCCAAGTGGATAAAAAACATGCAATGGCTCATAAAAGACTTGATGGAATACTAGCTGATTCCAAAAGCAGGTAAAAATAAACTACTAGTTTAAGTCCAATTTCAAGGACAACTTTAGCAGAATGCTTTGCTGGTAAACAGTCAAAAGAGACGCCTAGATCACTTTGGTTCGGCTACCGAAAAATCAGGATAGGGACATAAATGTTCGAGTAACCTGAATCATTTGGTGATAATATATTTTGTTTGGAGTGAAATACAAATACAAACTAAAATAGAGAATTGGAAACTTCTGATGATCTTTAATATCACCTTGTAAGGCATATCTTAGCGAGTAAATAATAGTTAAATAGATTTACTGAAAGCTCATATGATTGATTACAAATTATCGAGAATATTTGTTGGTTGACTGAAAGTTACAACCAAGAAGCCCTGAACCTTGGTTTTGTACTTGTTAGCAAGCTCACCAAGATACATCTGGAACCTCAAGGGAACTGATCTTCCCCTTAGAGACCTGAACCCACCTCATCCAGAGCTGCAGCCATAGACGTTATCACAGAGTTACTTGGGTCACGACTGACCTTCTGTAGGGCTGGATTAGATACATTGACATTGACTGGTTACTGGACAATAACCAATTTCATGTTTTCTAGTCGTAAAAGCTGACCCAATTCCGTCGACCATTTTTCAACGTGGTCATTAATCTAGAACACTCAACATCGTGGCACGATTTGATTGGGGTCAGCTGGTTGACGGCAGTTGCTAAGAATACTCTGACCATCGTTTGTGGTCGCTGAATCGTTTCAACTTTGTTGGATGATCTTGGTGGAGTTGCATTCTCCAAGACGAATGATTCAATAATGAAGCTGTCATTATCTTTCTAGACAGAATCTATAGCACTAACTTCAATATAAAGTGAGCTAGCAGGATTTCTTTGCGAGCGCTTCAGAATTAATTATTGAAGTTAGTTCTGTCAGTTTTGCTGAAGATGACAAAAGTTTCACGATTAAGTTATGTAGCTTAAAGAATGCAATATCACCATAACTGAAAATTGTCAGACACGATCATATAGCTCAGCAAGCAACACTCTAAACAAATATACCATATAATGAGTGGACCCCTGTAGTGTGCTTGAGTTTTATTGGGCATCATTGGTCTTACTTTACCTGTTACACAGAACATTTAATAATCTCTCCTCAGCCTAAAGGTCTGATATATAGAGAAGACATACAGTTCAGTGAAAGTGAATCAAAAGTAAATCAGGTGTAAAAATAACTTCTTTAGAAATACAGTGAAAGGTATTTAAAAGCAAATAAAACGCAGGATGTCATTTAACATGTAATTATATATAAAAGTGTCTTGTCTCAGTTTGATATTCATTTTCAAAGCAGTTATCTTGCCGAAATCGACCCTGATGGCGCTGTAACAGACATTTTCATGTGCTTATTACACAAAACATTTTGCTGTTACCACTAAATAAGAGCGAAGTATTTTAATTTGTTCGAAATAAAAGGGTTGATAATATTTTTCTCAGAAATGCATAATAGCTTATTATAAAATTGCATTCCGATGTTAAACAACTTTAATAGCAGATCTCGTTGTACAAAGATAGGCAACTTCTTATGACGCGTCATTTCTTATTCCTAGTTTTTGATCATACAAAAGGTTCTCAATAGCAGTCTAAGCATTTCCTTGATTACAATAAGATCTTTCAATGCAATGTAAATGACTATTACTTGAGCGTTAACTTCAAAACCCTCTGGTTTTATAGTGTATGCGGCAGCACGTAAAAGCTCAGAATATACTAATCGGTGGAATACATGCTCCAGCGGTGTTTTGTTGACAGCAAGACTTTCTGAAACGTTTTTTTAACTGTTAAAAGTAATTAATAGTTTCCTTTGACTTACGCAGTTTAATTTTATCCCTATGAAACTGTAGATGACATCGTAAAGCATCCTATCTTCCTACGTAATATTCGTACACAAATTATTGTAAATTATAGTTGCAATTGTAAGTCAAATTTTCTGTTGTTAATCACTCACTTTTAAGGAACTTGTAAGGACAGATGTTGGAAAACAATTTAGGAACATCATTGTAAGCAAGAGATAGTAGTCGACGTAACGTAACAGCTTCTTAGGTGAAACATTCACTTCAACGACATGAGTAGGTTTTGCCTAAAAGTTAAACAATCAGGAAAGCGTGCAATAGGCAACATTTTGAAGATAATATTGATGATGTTCAGAAATTGTTGCTTAGAAGTAAGAAAAATAACAGTAAATAAACAAACATACAAATATTATCAACTTGACCAAAACAAGTCCAATTGTTAAAAACAGCAAAAAAAAAGAATGAATCACAACGTAGAAGTTTAGATTATGGAAAAACAATGAGAACATGGGATTCTTAAACATAGAAACTTAATTTTGTACACAAAAGAGTGAACATAACGTCAGAGAAAAGTTAAATTAGTAAACGTTTTATTGCAGCCACTTGTTAGGTTTCACGCGAAAGTAACTTTGAAACCTCTGGTCAAGTGGACAGTGTTGTTCCTGACTGACTGAAAAAACCAACATAGAACCTCGTACACAGGTGCGTCGGCTCGCATGTCCACGCTTCAAAGTGGTACACAAAGAATAGATACATAGATAAAACTGATATCGAAGTAGACAAGGTTGTGTGAGACAATAAACAATCCGACAATAACGGTCTGTGCTAATATTCAAGATTTACAAGATGTCAAGAAATGAATACGTCTGCTCCTTTGTGACCAATTTCCAGCCATGTCACAAAAATTCCTCAACTACCGATTCCTTTCGTCTCGCCGACCACAACCGCATAGTCCACATGTCACCACACAACTCACATCAACTCTAAGAGACTTCATCATCTCGTGCCACATCTTATTCTGGCCACCCTAAACCCTTTAACAACCTAATCCAACTTCCCCTAGAATGGCACATTGAGGTAGGCAGTGACTTGGTATGCGCGACACATGTTCAAGTTCTCTCAGCCGATGAAGGTTTACAAGCTTATCAATCCGTCTGTTCGTTTCACCTAGTACCCTTTGCCTGATCTCAACATTGCTCACACGGTGGTTCCACCAAACGCGGGCAATGATAAGAAGACAAGTGTGATCAAAACCCTGTAACCGTTTTATGTCTTCTACTTTTAACCGCTATGTCTCGCAGCCTTATAACAGGTTAGAGGGGACTGCAGTGCAGTATACTCATCCTCTGTTAGATAGTGAGACATCTCAGCGACATCACCGATCTAAAAAGAGTTTTCTATGAAGACTCCTTTAGCAGTCATAGAAACCTGACTCACTCAAAAGGATTAGATGTTAAATCAGGTTTAGATTTTCCATACGCAAACCAAAAGTTTTCATCTGATGTATAGTAGGTTATTGTATTTTGACACTATCACAAATAAGTGGATTTGAAGTGATTCAGACAAAAGTTAAGCTTTGATCACTTTTTACCAAAATTGTACTTATTCAGTACTATCTTAAATATAGTGATTTAGAAAAAGAAGAGCAGAATACATCAAGTCAAGAGAAAAAAACTACTATCAACAACTTTCTAAGGTTCTATCATATGAGATGCTGGAGTGCTTATCAAAAAGTAACCTGACTAACATGTTCTTCTGTGTAGCAAAATACTGTTAGAATTTAAAAGTGCCTGAAAAGTGACCACTTTGAAGTACTGCTGTTTGAGAATGAATGGTTGCTTAGAGCACACTGTTAAAGTTAGACTTTAACCAATCAGTGTTACTAATCACTTGGTTTAATTTTAAATCTGAACTAATTTGTTCGGCTAGAAATTAGTTACGTATCCTTGGTCAGTCAATACTTTGAAGTAAGATTATGAGTGAAACATGATAGCGTTCGAATTAAAACCTTAGTTTGTCAAGAGGTCGTATCAGTCAATAAAACTATTGATGCTCATTTTGTAGTGCGTAGAGAATCATGAGCATGCAATATATTAGGAATCAATTTTTGTTTACCTTTGTTAGCACATCTCAAGATCTCTAATAGTAAAAATGTATTCAAGTTTAATCTTCCTCATCGTGAACATTTCACTGCCCTGTTGTGATCTTTTGTTTGTCACTAATATCCTTCCTGCTCAGTTTGATATCCTTTTTTGAGGCGTTTCCATTTGAAGAACTTGAACCACTGAGCTTATGTGATATAGTGCATCGCTTTAGACATATTTTATTTGTTTTTCTTAATGAATGTGTTACAGAATCAAATAGTTAAAATCAAGAATTCAGCTCAACATATCAAATTCTAAATAAGCGAATAACTGTTATTCAATTTCTAGACATACCAAGTTAACTATAAATATGTTACAGTGGCCCGTAAAAACAAGTTTGAAGTAAAACCGCACAGTCACTGACTGCTACGCTGGTTTACCACATTTCCCACTTTGTCTTTGGAATCAATTTTTTACTGTCCGAGAAGTTAATCATTTTACCCCAGAAACATCTTGTGATCTTATTTTGAAACATTTTTTCTACCTAAACGAGCCATACATTGAACTTGGCAGAACACGATTTCTGGCATTTTCAATGCCAAGCATGTTCTGTATTTTGCACCTAATAACAACTTTATCAGTATTTAATTCATGTAGTTCTTGTTGTACTCTATATACACAAGTTGGGTGCCATTAAAATAATTTCTTTTGAAATACGAAATAAGTCACACTATGTTGCCATTTAACAGTTGACATTTTTCTCAAATTAATATGCAAAGAATCAATTTAATTGCTTCATTGACCTAGTAGGCCTGTTTCCTTTGCTTAGGTTCACCTAAGAGAATACGCAAGTGCTTTGATTTCGGGATTTTTAACTATTCATCCTGCCTGTGATTTTCCTTATCTTAATAATATGTTTGCGTTCACGCTGTATAAAGAGCTCATTGTATCAATGGAATGCTTGACTGACACTGATTTGTCAACCAAGTCAATCAGGTTAGATGACGAATACTTCTCAATGGTACTGGATGATTTTCACTTTGTACGTCAAACTATCGAAGTAGAAAAATGCTAATCAGTCCATTACTACCTACTCGCTGGAAAGTGGTGCTCTCTCAAAGAGATGTGGTGATCATGAGCTCAATCCTTTGCGGAATGATGCGGGGCACTTCTGAGGTGTCTCAAACTAGGATGAAACATTTGTTCATCGATCCTAAATTTTGGTAGTTTCTCAAGTGATGCCAGTTTACGATGAAAACTAACATGAAGCTAATCAATCTTCAAAGCCCACAAATTGAGTTGTCGATTTTAAAGTAAGGAGTCTGGGGACGCCAATGTTTGTGCTGTAACAAAAGAGAACTGTCAACAAAATTCAATAGTTTAAAATTCATGATTCTTAGACATTTTTGCACCTGTTCACCATCTGCCACGAGTTTTTCAGCCTTTGGTTCCGATGATGTACCATTCTGAGCTTCTTCTCGTTCTTCTTCCTGCAATAAATATTTACGAAAGTAATAAAATAAAAAGTAATGACTGTTTAGTCATGATAATTAACTTTCATTTGAGTTTCCCAAGTATTGTTGCTTGACACGAAGAGTCTTATCAACAAAAAGAAATCTCTGGAATGCACAAATAACTGAATAAAAAGCTTTACCACACTTCATCTGTCCGTGAGTGCTACGAATCGCAAGTTACTAAACAATACAGTTTGTGTCAATAGCTAGCGATACTAGTAAATTATTCTACGAGCCCGATTAGGTGCAATTGAGTTACACGTCATTCCATTATGACTAGCAGTCAGACTTTCATCATACAACTGAGATCTTCAGTTACAATACATCAGAAATAATTTTATTCACAGCAAATTAGTTCATCCTACTTGCATAGAAACTATACAAGGCACTTCACATAGTGCTAAAATCTGGGGTGAAGTGAGATTGCTTACAATTACTTAGAAAATTATACTTATTCCAGAGCTGTGTGGGTAAGGCACTTTTTTATTATCAGCTATAAATTCCTATTCTGATTCGTGAACACTACAAACAACACGTAAAACAACAGTCAATAAAGTTACCTATCCTGACCCTATTTCAACTACTTTACCATAGAAGAAGCTCAATTCTCATCCGAATGAAAGCTGTGAAATCCACTTCTTTTCGGATACCAATGATCAAACTGAAGATGTTTCCCCAGCAAGAAAACTTATTATCTTGATACTGCTCATTATATCTGTTAAAACGACATAATAGAGAATCCTAAACACTTATTCAGGCAGCACCTTCCAAAATTTTAAAATTCATTCCAGACTATGATATACTACGCTTGGCCGTCACTGTTAGCAGCACATAACAGACAATTCCATTCAATAGCACCAACGCAAACTATGACTCTCCTACAATATTCACAAATCTAATAAAACTCTTGTAAAGGGGGATTGTCAGATGTCTTGAGACCTAACATCTAGTATCATCAACCAACCGATAGAAATTAAGGGTTTAGAAGGCATACTGAACATCAGTTATTTCGGACAGGCACTAAAAACCTAAAATAAACTTTACAAAGTTATATTACTTATCATAATTATTGAGGTGATCATCTAAATAAAGATCAGTATCATTTTGTGAAGAAAACGAAATTTGAAGTAGGAAACTTATCACCTTACTCTTAAAGTTTTTTTGAAGGCATACGAAAAATCGATGGAAGACTGAGCTGTGAGCATATTAAACTATTCATTTTCTAACACTTTGCAAAAGTATGTATTGAAAAGAAGTAACATGACTTCTATATAATAATCTGATACCTCAAAAGAGTCTACATTTTTGTCTACAACAAGTATTCCATCCTCAGAGAATACTAACAAAAAGTCTATCCCAGATGCAATATGAAATTTTTATTAGGAATTTAGTGTGCGTTTCAGCTAAGGAAATCACGAAACAGTACTTTCAAAATTTCTTTCCAACAATCAAAGGAGTAAATTCCAACCCTATATGCTCTGAGAATGGACTGAGCAAGCATATGACGGCCTCCATTTCTTCTTGTCTTCATTATAAAACATCAAAATTGTAAAAATATTGTGGTTATTTAGTTTTAAAGCTTGTAGTGTCTGTTTACCTGGCTGCATTTTATGCTACAAGCTGATTCTATAATTTTCAACACATTTTAGCTTAACTGGAGTTTTTAACTCTTGGTTTATGTACTTATCCTAGGATGGTAGACATAAATATCCCCTGACATCTTCTACACTAAGCTATCAAATAAGTGCAGTTTGAGTGATAAGGTGTCCTTTTTAAATTATAAAATGTAACACCGTATTACGTATGGGAAAACACTGAGAACAAATGCTGGCAGTAAGGTACAAGTAAGCAAATAAGACTTTGAAACTTAATTCATAGGATATTCTCCATTTGTCTATATTATCATAATAAATGCTTACCTCTTTTGGTTTTGGCTTCATACGAACTAGTATACACCCTAACAACTGTAACACTGCCAGTATTGAACCAAGTACCAAGAATGCATATGGAATCCTATCAAGAAGTTCTTCATCAGTAAAACGCCTAAGCAAAGAATAAGGGATTGAAACGATTCATTTGAAAATACTAACCAGAAACTGTTGCAAGAACTGTATGGGTATGAAAATAATTCTACAACTGATAACATAGTGTTAGGTGTACATCATGATAACACTGAGCATACATAACCTGGTTATTTCCCGAAACACTTTATCACACAAAATAATGGTAGAAACTGAGAACTCCATTTCCGTCTGTTTATGCAATGTGTCACATAGAGAACGTATTATTACTAGACAACGTTTCAGACATAATTTCTTGTCCGTATACATTTCGATACGGGAAACATCCCTCTAAAAAAATTTGTCATAAATGAAAATACAGAAGTGCATTTTCAAAAAGTGAAGAGAGCTCTCGTATCATTAGGAAAAATATGTATTTCTGGCAAGTAGATAGGAGTGAATTTCAAAAATGCCAGTTTTATTACTAAAATGGTATGTAAGGCCATCTGCATTCTGGTGTACATTTATCAAAGTACACAGAAATAGGATTAAAATCCAAACTACATTATATAGTTTTTCTTAAGATTTTGATAGCTAGAGAACAAAATCCTTATGAATACTTAAAAGATGGAAGTATAAAACTCGAAATCAGTTGGATGTACCCAGATACGTATACAACATGAAACCAAGGTCAAAATAGGATGAATTGGTGACTTAAGCTTGTTTAAATTTAATGCAGGAAAATGATACAAATTAACGACCAAGGAGATAGAAAAAGTGTGTTCTGTAGCACCAGTTTCAACAGGGTAACTGTAATAATTCCATCATTATAGTAGGAAAAAATAGCGTGTTTTCAAAAAAATTACAACTAAAAATTAACTAAAATAACTAAAATTATGACTAAGGCAAAATAAATATTTTAGATTCCGAATCACTGATTGTGTATGCATACAGTCTGATAGATTATATTCTTCGATGTTTTTATTCTAGATTCCTCAAATTTAGGAAATCTGAAGTACTTTATGACTAAATGTTATCAATAGTCTGATGCAGGAATAAAATTTGCAGCTCTTATACAAAATTCAAATCAATTGCGGCTGCAAAATGACATAAAACACGTTTCAATAAAGCATTCACGTAAGAAATTTTGGCTGATAATAAACTGTTTTATGAAAGATGAATCTCTTTGCCTGAATTCTAAAACGTGGGAATATCTCCCTGATAGGTTTTAAGAACTAGCGCTGAAGTAAGCTGATTAGGAAACAAACAAAGTGAATGATACTAGAGGTAGTCACGAATGAACCAACACCAGTTCTCAAACCATTAACGATAGACTTGATGGAGGATCTTATGGGATCCCTCTAACATATGTGGCTTCACAAGTAAATAAACTATCTTGGGAATTATAAGTAAAAGAAATAGTGTCCCAGATTAAGTTGTTCACATGAATAGCTTTGACTTTCGACTTAACTATTGCTCTTGGATTCAATTTTGAATCTCCGTAAACCTAGAGTCAGCGTTTGAGAAACAGAATGAATCAGAATACACACTTCAGTATTTGTGAAGGAATTTTGGTTCATACGAAACCTCCCAGCATAAACTGCGAGTGATGGACAGTCAAAACAATTGCACAAGAACCAGACTATCATAGAAAAGAAGTTGGTTATTTAAAACTCACCATCAACGTAACCTAAACATCAGTCTGCTATGTTTTGGCTACAAGCTGATAAAATTCCTAATTTTAAGTTGAACTTGTCAATTAAGGTTACCAACGAGTTTACATTTATGACAACATCATCTACACAGACAATCATACACTGTCTCGAATCTGCCAATACTATGTACAATGCAACAAAACAAACCACCAAGACCAATACGGGACACTGCACACAAGTGGATCGGCTCGAGCTGCCACACTTCAAAGTGGTACACAAAGAATAGATACATAGATAAAAACTGATATCGAAGTAGACAAGGTTGTGTGAGACAATAAACAATCCGACAATAACGGTCTGTGCTAATATTCAAGATTTACAAGATGTCAAGAAATGAATACGTCTGCTCCTTTGTGACCAATTTCCAGCCATGTCACAAAAATTCCTCAACTACCGATTCCTTTCGTCTCGCCGACCACAACCGCATAGTCCACATGTCACCACACAACTCACATCAACTCTAAGAGACTTCATCATCTCGTGCCACATCTTATTCTGGCCACCCTAAACCCTTTAACAACCTAATCCAACTTCCCCTAGAATGGCACATTGAGGTAGGCAGTGACTTGGTATGCGCGACACATGTTCAAGTTCTCTCAGCCGATGAAGGTTTACAAGCTTATCAATCCGTCTGTTCGTTTCACCTAGTACCCTTTGCCTGATCTCAACATTGCTCACACGGTGGTTCCACCAAACGCGGGCAATGATAAGAAGACAAGTGTGATCAAAACCCTGTAACCGTTTTATGTCTTCTACTTTTAACCGCTATGGTTCAGAGCCGTATAGCTCGCCGGAACAGAATGGAGTGCAGTAAACATGCCCTTTGATAGATAGTCGGATATCTTACCAGTTGGCGTCACTGACGATGCAAGTTGGCAAATGTCAAACATGTCTTCCTTATTCAACCTGAGATTTACTCAGCAACCAACCCGTCCGGGCTGATGCCACTCCCAAAATAATTTAAATGGTCGGCTTATTCCACCACTTTACCCTCTATCAACAAGTGTAACATCGAAGTTTAAAAGAATCATTTAATACACAGAATAGTAACATGCCTTCGGAAGGACTATTTGATGAAAATCACTCACATCCGGTGAATAAAATACCACTCAATCAGAATTCAAAGTGACGGCAAACAAAATAGATTGGATCCTTTTTGTTTTGGCATTAAACGGTTATTCACCACAGAAACCACTAAGAATTTGGTAGAATAAAAACTTTTGTAGCTAAATACGATGTCATAAATACTCTTTATGAAAATATTCATTGGTAAACTTTACTTACCTAGTAACTTTATCGACATTTATGTTAGTCGGGTTGATGAATGCAGTTTGAATTGGTGTGAAAATTAGGGATCCCAAACCGAATCCACCAACAATTATTCCAACAACTAATCCTCTTCTATGTGGGAACCACTGAAACAGATAGTAAATTGTTCTATTGTGAGCTCTCCTATATTGAGTTCAGGCAGTTAGAAAACCGATGTCACTATTATATAGTTGGCAAGTTTAGCTTTCAAATGGAATTGTGACAAATAAAAAATAGACTATATCAAATGACACGGGTTATCATTGAAATGAGAAACGGGTTCGTGACAGTATTCGAGCCCGCAACCGTTGGATCTCCCGTCCGATACTCTTCCAGATGAATGATGAGAACCTGACCTCATCAGTAGCTAGTTCTCATAATTCAGCTGAAAATGTGCAGAGATAGTAATCTGGAGGCTGGCAGTTCAAATCCTGATGTGAAGCAGGTTTTCGTCCTACCTTCAGTTGTTGCCTCATATCAATAATACCAGTCTGCCAAACCGAGGATACTTTAAGTTGTCCTGACAACCAAACATTTTTAGTAGAACAAGTAATCACCAGACCCTTATAAGAAACATTTGCATGAAAAACTAAGTGTTTCTAATTATTGTTTTGTTGATGAGCATATACTTTGAATAAAAGAAATCTATTAGGGTGTAAAATGTAAATCACTACCATCTGGATACGTCATAAAGATGAAAAAGGCTTTGTAGGTTTATTTTAGCAATCACAAAAACTCTCAATAATGGTAGATTTCAGAAAGTTTGGAATTAATCCTCTATTGGCTGGCGCTTATAAACCTATATAACAGAAACAAAATATGAGAAAAGGACTCCAATCAAACAGAGGGATAAACATAAATTCAGAGGTTTGGAATACAGACACGGACTAGTTTCATTTGTCACATAATTCTGTGTTAGATTCTCAGAAAATAACATCGAAGGTTTCGAATATCATAGGACTTCAGTGGCAGTTTACTACAGAACATCAATAACAAAACAGCCTACATAGAGTGCTTGAGTGAGTGTTTTCTGAAAAGCGTGACGTTTTCTTTAGGAATACAAAAGTGTGCAATAAAATAAAAAAAGGTTTCACTACTTTCTAAAACACTAAAAGGTTTACAACTTACAGATACAGCACAAGCTATTGCTACTGAATACCCAATTCCCATTGCCAGTCCAAATATTATACCAACTGTGAAAACTACTCCGATGAATGTCTTTTGTATAGTGACATATGTTAGTAGAATACTGCCACTAGCAAAAAAACCAGAAATGAGGTTGGTTATTCATGAGGTTTTCTCAATTTCGACAGACAATTTTTCATAACTGTTACAAAAGTTGAACTACTAATTTTTAGTATTTCACCAAATTCATATTACAGATGTGACTCTACTTACTACTGATCGTTAAGAGGTAGCCCTGTTGATTGTGGTTTTTCTGATTAATCAGTAGTACCCTAACGATACAGCTATTCTGAACAAATAAAATGACTTAATTAAAGGACTTTTGAGTGCTACACTTAAAACGCATGGACAGCCTCCATGTATACCGCTTTATACAAATCCAAGACAACACCTAGACTTATATGCAATCAATTCAAGTTTAAAGACAAGCAATTTAGTAACACGATGGTTAGACCCATTCACTTGCTTAGAAATTCAGAGCAAATCTGATGGCACAGTGTTTAAAAAACCGCAAAATGGACACTGACAGACTATTGAGCATTCTCCAAATTGTGCTGTCTCTGGCACCAGTTAGATATCTGACCAACTATAGGTCGTTAATTTAAATGAGTGGCAGTTCATTTCATCACTCTTTCTTGCTGTCAACTATGCTCGATGAAACTAGAATACATGAGGATTCTGAAGTTCTTCTATGACAGGTGTCACCGCTACACTTTAAAAATAGAGTGAAACCTTTGGGTGGGGAGAGCTGTGGACAATAACGCACTACAAGGCAGTAAGGGCAATCTATTCGATGAAGTTACAAAACTTTATCGACTAAGATATTTTGGAAGTTCGGAGCAAGTGAAGCCATAAATCCCTTCGATGTGGAATATTCGCCGAATATTTTTAATTTTGGAGGACCACAGTGGGTGGTAAACCAAGAAGTGATCCAAATTTATACAAACGTTTATGCTGCGAACTTAATTCATCCATTTACGAGTGATTTATAATTGCTGGCAAGGTATACAGTCCACCTACTGATTCATTATTTTATCTTCAATTCACATCACTGACAAAAACAACAAGACTAATATGACCATCGTGAGAAAACACTTTCATGGTTCTTTGGCCCTATTTGAGGCTTGAAGATTTTGAAACTTCTACGAGGAGTGAAAAGTATTTCATGAGTGAAAAACTATGCAATGTATTCCACCTAGATTTCAAAAGTACCTTGCATATTCTAAAAACCTTTGGAAAGAAACTAACCTGCCTGTAAGCAAAGTCAAAATCATAGAAACTGTGGGTCCAAATCTCATTGCAACCATACCACCTAGCGGCATGCCCAGGCCTTGACAACCCAGGCCAAGAGCAGACAACCACACAGCTTCACGGTTAGTAATATTGCTGTCAACTCTCGCAGCTATGTAGGATATGATATATGGTGCCATATTAGCTGGTAAGAGTACATTATAAGAAAAATTCAAAAAACGTACAAATAGTATAGAAATGTCCCAAGCTAAAATGGACTGAGAACGCTCCAAGCACCACCAACAACCCATGAATAAGAGTTTTACGTTTCTGATTCTAAACGAAATGTACTATGAGAAATAATTCATGTACCATATTTGCACGCAGTAGAACACTATATCACATCACATATTTGAAAAAGCAGGCCTCATATACCTTGGCGAAAACGGTACATTAAAACAAAGCTAGTGCATTGTGCAATGGTCACGTAATTAGGATTCCATAACATAACTTCTGGTTTCACTCGTAATCCTCCAAATTTCCTAATCTTTTGCTGCTCCTGGTTGTTGTCTGCGTCATAGAAGAATGCTGAAACTCTCGATCGTATACAATCTCTTCCGGTCCTGTAAATATCAAACTACAATCGAGATAAGAAAGCACTGAATGTTTCTTCTAAACGTCGAAGTTTCATAGATCTATCTCATTTTCGGGATAGAGAGAAGCTGGACACTTACCCACTTGTTGTGGAGTACTTACAAACCAGATACGAAATTTCAATCTGCGCCTGAAGTAGAATTTTCGGGTTTTTTCCTAAAACTTTCGATGTGTGCCCGAAGTAAATCCTGGTTGAAAAGTTAATGTAGTTGCCTAACTCTCGACCCTGTTGAAGTTTATCGATATCTAATATGTGCCGTTATTCAACTTATTAATAGCTTACCTGATATTACAGCGTTATTTGTATTTGTAACATAGTTTGTTTTCATTTCTGAGTGTAAAGAAAACTGTCGTTAGCTTGCACTTCCAACTTTAACAGTCTTGACGGCGGTTGTGGTCCGTCACTACGGTAACCCAAATTATGACTGACGTCTACACCGATATTGACAATTTTCCATCTGCTATTCTTCAAATACCGAACGCATCTAGGAATATACAGTGTAAGATGAAATGTCTCATGCCACTAGTGCATCCACTGGACCCCCAAAGTGGTGCACCGCTTGACAGCCTAATAATATGCGAGAGATTAGTTGACTTTTTAGCCAGTGAAGTAAGCAATCGAATGTGATCCCTTTTTAATTCAGAGGCCTCCAATATCCCTGAAAGTTCCCACTTAAGGGCGGATTAAAACTGGATGTGGACTGGCTCAGCCTGCACCGTTCGTCACCACGGGAAGAAAGTAAACAGGTTCTCATGTCCAGCTTGACTCTACTCTAGTTCACTGTATAATTCAAGACGCTTCACTGGCTCCTAAAGAATTGTAGCATCTGCAAATCATTACCTCAGGATATCTCCTGACCTAACTTCTTGTCGCCCCTGCATACGGAAACTCTGCAGCGGACTGACTTCACAAGCCTCACCGAAACCACGAGACAACTATCCCTTCCCCTAAATGTTCGGAGCAAAAGGCTTTCAACCTAGTCTGTTCCTGACAGAGGCCAATGTGGATAACAGCTGTGCAGGGTCCTCCGGCAAATCTTCTTTCCGAAATCCCCGACGAAGCTCTTCCGTTTTCGGATTTCACAAAATAAAAGCATCTTTGGCCATGCAGATGATGATATACTCCAGTCAGCTGCCATCGGTCATAACCTACAGCCAGTCCAGAAGCAGAAACCTGAAAGAGACACCTTTCTATCCCACAGGCCAATAAACGACTTATCACCGTCTGAAGCAACGGGCGGTAGTCCGCCTTGTGGTGCTACGGAACCTGCCTATATCTAGGCGTTTCTCATCCTTTCTCGTAGACTCAAATGAAGATCGTAAGAAGACACTTTCATCTAATCTTGTAAACGATCTAATCCTCCATTTAGCAGCCCTATCGGAGTTCTCTGTTCCTGTGTCCACCTCACGTGCCATTTGGAATGAGCTGAATCACCTGAAAACCTTAGCTCACTTGACCAAACCTTGCTGCAATATAATCACTGAAACTTGGTGTACATCAGATGCCTTGAACCTCAGGCTCACGTTAGATAAATACAATTTGTATCGTAATGATCGCAGTGCTTGCAAGCTTGGGGCTACACTAACGTCGTTCATCCCGATCTGCCACCTCTGACTGTCTCCCCTTTGGGTTGGAACCTTTTAAATGACGTAGCATTGGTAGCACTTGCCAGCACAAACCAACTACGGTTGGTTGCCCGTTTAGGTCGCCGCACGCTGGATCAGTCGCTTGCGAACACATAAGGGAAATATTCGGGCTGCTGTTGCCGGGCCCACTTTTTCGCGGGTAGGTGGTGATTTTGATATGCCAAACGTTACATGAGGGACACTTCAAGAGCCACCTGGTTTCAAACCAACGGATGGGCTCAAGTAGTTAGCAACCGTACTAGAAGTGATAATTTAGACGTAATCCTTGTAACAAAGCGCTACATTTCACCACCCGTTCCAGTGGTCAACTCTTTGCACCATGAGGGTGCACGCCTACGACACTGATGCACACGAGACCTGTTCACAGAAGTTTTGTCGACGTCGAATGGTAATACCCATAACACTTGATGCGTTGTCTAAAGTGGGATCAATTCTTTCCATTCGGTGACCTGAACAACTCTCTAGGAAATTTTTAACTTGTTTCAAACTTTCGTCTGCATTCCTTTGCCCACAGTAGCGTGTTACAAGTAAGGATCATATTCCCACTGAAATTAAGTAGACTGAAAAAATTTTTCGCGGCCCATGACGTTTCTGTCATTCTTAGCACTCAGGCAGTTCTCAGTGACCTTGTAGCATTTGATTTCACTGTGTTGTGTTGACATATGTAAAAACTCATTGAAAATTTTCTGTTTAGTTGCACTGACGAAGACTTTCTGCTCGCTCGTTGAGCAATACAACATCCTGATATATACTTCGCGTTAACTCCTGATATTTACACCGTCTGACGCAGGTAAATCAGCAGTGTCGGGAATTATAAATAGGCGATAGTGTATCTGGACACGTATATAAATTTGGAGTCAGATTTCAGAGCCCGACAAACTGGTGAGCCCGACGTGATTGAACTCTCGCAAGTTTCATGAGTGGATATTATTATTGTTTTCAATTGAATACTGCAGCCAGTTATCAATAACTGTTCACAATACGGATGTATATGTAAATATATACTAAGAATTTCTCTGGCTGCTTTGTGGTAGGCATTGATATGCTTGTTTATTGTATTTTTCCTGCTCTTGTCCTTAAATATTTTTCTTCGCTGTGCCAGTACTGATGTCCTTGAACTGTTATAATCAAGACTTTTCGAATGTCGGGTCCGTGGGTGACATTAATCTTCCTATACCTTGTTTTAAGTTCAGTGACCCGCAGTTGTGGCTTGGACAGTCATATAACCTCAAAAAACACAAAATTCGGATACACAAGCTCTGTTTTGCCGGAAGAAGTGGCTGAACAAGTAACGGAGACACTACTAAAGCCCCACCCAGACACACCTTATGATGTTTTGAAGCAGGAGGTGCTGAAAGCTACTTCGTTATCTGACCAGAAGGCTGTCGATCAACTACTAAGTAGCATATGCCTCGGTGACAGAACACCTTCACAACTTAAGCGACATATGCAAAGTCTGCTGAAAGATAGGAACGTAGACAACCGTTTATTCTACCAGCTCTGGCTGCGGAGACTTCCTTCATGCATTCAGCAGATATTAGCTGTCGGAGATGCGGACATTGACATTGACAGGTTGGCTGACATCGCTGACCGTATGTACGAAAGGATGCCTAAACCGGTTGAAAGTATTGCTGAGCCAACGCAAAACGACCGAGTGGCCGCTTTAGAGAGGAAGATAGACATACTTACAGGACAACTGACGGCTTTGCAGTTAAACCGACGGTCACCGAAGTTCTGTAGAAGCAGATCCCGTAGTCGTGATAGGACCACGAGTAGAATTGCGTCTAAAAGTAGCACGTGCTGGTATCACAAGAAGTTTGGCAGTAAAGCACGTCGTTGTTTGTTACCATGCGATTTTAAAACCTTTTCATCGGGAAACGGAAAGGCCGGCGATCAGTGACGACTGCTGTCGCCGGCGTACAACAACACAGTCGTTTGTTTCGAGTGACGGATAGGAAGACTGGAGCTCAGTTTCTGGTTGACACTGGAGCGGAAGTGAGCGTGATCCCACCCACACCTTCCGAAAAACGCCATCCCAACCCAACTTTGGTACTACAAGCGGCAAATAGATCTGCTATTACTACATATGGGACCAGAATTTTGATCCTAGACATTGGCTTTCATACACCATTCCAGTGGGAATTCGTCATAGCTGACATATCGTCGCCTATCATTGGCATGGATTTCCTTCAACACTACGAACTATTGGTCGACTCTAGTCGCCATAGACTAGTCAGCCGTGGTGGTATCGTTACGGAGACAAAAACAATAAACTTAGTCGTAGCTCAAAAAACAACACTTCCGAGTACGATATCCTTCTGCGAGAATTTCCCGAGCTCACTCAAACGGATTACACGAAGTCCTCTCCAAAACATACGGTGACGCACCATATTCTTACAAAAGGTCCTCCAGTCCCACCAAAACCTGGACGCTTAGACCCTAAAAAGCTGCAGACAGCAAAACAGGAATTTGATAAACTTCTAAGGTTGGGAGTTATACGCCCTTCCAAAAGCCCATGATCATCATCCCTGCATACGGTACCTAAAAAGCATCAGGGGAGACACGGCCTTGCGATGATTGTCGATTGCTGAGTAAGCGTACAGTCCCCGATAAGTGTCCAGTTCCTCATATACATGATTTTATGATCTTTATGACAAAAATAAATATTTTTTCCAAGATTGACCTCATGCGAGCTCACTACCACATTCCTATGGAACCCAGTGATGTTCCTAAGGCGACCATCACTGCCCCCTCGAGCTATTCGAATTTATTCGTATGCCGTTTGGTTTGACAAATGCTGCTCAAACATTCCAAAGATTTATAGATCAGGTACTCCATGGCTTACCTTTCGTCAGTGCATACATAGATGACTTAATAGTAGCTAGCGCATCTGAAACAGAGCACCTGCAACATCTGAGGACGCTTTTCGAACGACTGCGTGAATATGGCATTACAATCAATCCGCAGAAATGCGAATTTGGCAAGGAATCCCTACAGTTTTTGGGTCACATTGTTAATGCCAACGGTGTTAAACCGGTTCCGCAAGAAGTAGATGCAATTCGAGAATATCCTGTTCCAGACTCGTTTCGAAAGCTGCGAAGATTTCTGGGGTTAATAAACTTCTATCGACGTTTC